TATTATTATTATTATTATTATTATTATTATTATTATTATTATTATTATTATTATCATCATTATTATTATTGTTATTTTTATTATTATTATTATTATTATTATTTAGACCTATGCCTATTATTATTATTATTTAGGCCTATTATTATTATTATTATTATCATCATCATAATAATGTTATTATCATTATTTCTACAAAATATTATTTAATCGTCACATTGCTATACCGCAAAACCTCGAATTGAAGCCCTGGGCTTCTTTTTTTTTTTCGAACTTTGGATGGGCTTCTTTTCGAGACTACTTTTGCAAAGTAAAAGAGGGGGGCTTCTTTTCAAAATGAATGCTGTAAATTTTGTGAATTTCTAGGCCAACTGTGACATCAAGGTGTATCATGGAGTGTATTTAACTGGCATTAAAAATACTAAACTTGTATTTAATTTATTTTGTTTTCTGAAATTCATGTACAGTGTATGTACTGTACTATCTCGAAAAGAAACCATGCTACATTGAAAAGAAGACAATGGGCTTCTTTTCGAGGCTAAAAGTTTTGCAAACTAAAGTGGGGGCTTCAATTCGAGATGGGCTTCATCTTGAGATTAAGCCCAGTGGGCTTCAATTCGAGGTTTTACGGTATATCACCATCATTATTTACTATTGCTTATCATCATACTGATCATATAATAACACGTTTCTACTGGAATAGTGATTAGTTGTGAGATCAAATACCAGTGAGCTAATTACTCGCTACAGGTCTTAGAAATTAACTCTAGTAGGCCTTGTCAACAGGGGTGACCCCAGGATTTGCCCGACGGGGGGCCGAGTTCCCCGATTCCCCCGACGAGGGGTCATATTTCCCCGACGAAAGCAATGTGTGCGTGGTCGAGCTTCGATTAAAATGTTTCGAAAGTGGTCCAGGGGGCGAAGCCCCGAAATGTTAACAAATTAGGGGTTTCAAGGGCTTACTTAATCGATTTTAGAGTCTACTAATATGTAGAAAATGCATATATTTTTTTTTCTCTCCGACGAATTGTGCTTTTTCTCCCCGACGGGGGGCCAGCACTCCCCGACAGGGGCTATGGTCAAGAAGGCCTTGCTCACATGATAGCCTATTGCTTGACCCAATTGTCTATCATTCTCACTTATTATGACCAGTACTGATATGACGGAACCGTATAAAAACGTGCTATAGCAATATTTTTACAAATGCTTGAAATCGATATCAGCAATTGTTAACCGTTAATAGTCAAGGTTGCCATGGCGAATTAGGATGTGGATATCGAATATAATAGCTATTATCACAAGGAGATGGATCACTGAGGCGCTCTGATTAGTCCTAGATGCGTCAAAAATGTATTACAGTCTTATAGGCCTTACATTTAAGCTTCATTCCCCTTCCCCAATGGCCCTACTCTGACGGGATTACCTTAAACCGTTCTAATCAATTTTCTAGTAAGTAGTAGGTGATAATTAACTGGTTTCTATAATCCTTCATGTTCAATGTGCATTTATAGTGGCGGTTGGCCTACTGTACGACTCCAATATACAGTACGGTAGTTTCCTATTAAATAATCACACGTGCAAATGCAGAATGGTCCTGTCTACTAAAATAGTAAATAATATTCTCACAGGTAACAAATTAGTAGACACCTAACTAATCTTAGGCCATTTTATGAGGCTGAGAAAGATAAATTCATGTTTTAAATTTCCACTAATTACCGTTGCTTTTGAAAGTGCCAATTCGTCTGAATTTGGTCAATGGAAACTAATCAGGAATAAAATTCATTATGTTCTTACATTATTTTGCCTATTAAACTTAATAACGACAAATCGTTATGTTTCAATGGGGAGGCTATGCAATCTACTTAGGGGCGCCAGCAGGAGGGCCGTGGGGCCAGAGCCCCTGTTGGGAGGGCTGGCACTCCGTCGGGGGAAAAAAATCACAATTCTCTACCCTATTTAATAGTAGACTCTAAAATAAGCCCTTAAAACCCCTAAATTGTCAAAAGTTTCGGGGGCTTCGCTCCCTGGACCACTTTCGAAGCCTTTTAATCGAAGCTCAACCACGCCCACTTTGCTTTCGTTGGTTGGGGAAATCTGACCCTTCGTCGGGGGAATCGCCTCCCCCGTCGGGGACCTCGGCCAATTACCCCCTTCCCCGGTCGGGAAAATCCTGGCGCCACCCCTGTATCTACTAAGGGTTTTTTTATTTTTTATTTCAAGAGATTTTTATAATCATAGCTTTCAATTCGTTGGGAAATGTTTTTTTTAAATAATTTATTCATTACTGGCCTACGCTTCCATGTCAGTCCTCGATTATTTCATATTAATCACTTTTCTCAGGATCTTTCCTTTTGGTTTTCTCTAATGTTTTTATTACAGGGGCGTCGCAGTGGGGAAGTCGGACGAGGGGAACAGGGATCATGGAAAGCTGTCTTCTTTCAAAAATCGTCGGTTTTTGAAATACCCAAATTTTCTGGGAGTATTGGCCACCGATCCCCTTCGAGAGGTTACCCTTGACTCACCCATCGGCAACATCCCCATTTGGAGGCATCGCCCCTTTCTGGAAATTTCTAGCGAAACCACTATTTTTTTCATTAGTTTTATGTCTATGTTGGTTAGACCTATGTGCATAATCGTAATGATTATCATCATCATTAGGCTCTATAGTCATCATTATTATCACCACCACCATCATCATTCCACTCACTCCTCGTATTAGGCCTATTTAACATAAATCAGCGAATGTATATCATGGATAGTCTTTTTGGTTTACAAATTACTATCCGCACGGGTGTATATGACGTCCGTTTCCGTTAATTCCTAGTGCATATCAACGGAATTATTTCACAATACAATTTCCATGCTTTGTGACTAGGTTCCATTGTTAGTAATCTTGCTACAATTCGCAATATGTGAACCATAAACAAACTTTATTCATGTTTCAACAATGGTAACAATGCCGCTTTCTCTATAGTTTTCGCCC